AGCTGCAATAAACAAAATACAACAACAACAACTTGTATAACCATACAACAACCAGCATTGGCGTCACAGCAACACTGCGTGACTGCCACTCTGCTGCCACATGCTAAATCGTTGTTGCTGCTTACTTACAGCTTACTCGTACTGCTTATACTCTTACCTGCAGCATGCCACAAGACACAAGTCACAGCGCAGCGCTGTTTGCCTCGGAGGCTAACCATTTGTGTTATCCATTTGCAACTGTTCAAGTAATCAGCTGGGCTATTGCACCACTTGTTGTTGTTTCTGTTGTTGTGTAGCACGTTTTCTCATCGTTTGCTGGTTGCAATGCCTCTAGAAAAGTGGCTCCCATTGGATTTTGTGCCTACCACCACACGTACCTGTTACTGTTTTAGCTGTTAGTGTTATTGTTGTTGTTGTTCTTGCTGTTGTTGTAGTCAATGCCTTACTTGAAGAGGCGCCCTGCCAGCGGGTCATCACAGTTGTAACACCGTTTTGTTCACCAACTGAACTATGCATCACCTTCTACGTCTTGAAGTGTATTCTACGAGTGCAAGTACACACAAGTCAAGTTCATTCAGTTTGCCAGCTCATCGGCACAGACGTGCCAGTGATTGAGTAGATGGGAGGGGGAACTTACCAAAGTTTGCTTGCACTTTTGAATTCCGTTTTTTTATAGTAAAGTGTCTTGTGCCGCCTTGAGTCGGTATACGAATATACTGTGCGAAGTCAAATCCAAGTCGTTCTAGTCTTAAGTTGCGGGAGGTTAGGGTAGGTTGAGCTAGCTAACCCGTTGGGTCTCACATAGACGTGCTCCACTGTCTCAACACATTCCTTTCCACATTTATGTATTATTTTCCTTCCCTTCTTGGCAAAGGCCGTTCGCCCTCTAACTACTCTTTCTGCTTCTGCTTGCCACGCTGGGTTTAGAGTATAATAAAAAACCTATCTAAAATTTTCCGCCCAAATAAATCAGTGATTAAAGACATTGCGGAAATGTGGGTGAATTCATCTCGACCGAAGAGATGAAGCAACCTAGCTTTGAAAGTGTTCGATTCAATTAATTAAAGGCGAAGAAGAAGTACTCCAATAGGCGACTGATTCCACCTGGGCGATTATGGAGTTTGTTTTTCGCTTGAGTTGGTTTTCTACATGATAGGTTCGAGCTTAGTATACAACCTTGGAATGAAGTTTAGGTTTCGGAGACTTTAACATTGCTAGTTGCTCTCTTCGAGATTGAAGCACCGTCGCAACTCTCGCACCTTACGCACTTAAAACAGGCTCCGGACGAACTGATTACCGGCTCAAAATATCTGAACTTTTTTCAATACGTCCAATATAGTAGCCTCGGCGCATCGTCTAAAGCAGGAATCGTCTAGAGCCGACGTCGGATTAGATCTAAGGGTTCATTATGTTTATAAAAGTTCTCTAGTACGGTTCGCAACCCAAATAATATAATCCCACCTCTAACAGTTCAAACCTTCCTCAACCATTCATAATCACCCATCCAAATTCGAACTTTTGTCGCTTCCCCCCGTCACGAGAGTGCATTTCTTGATTGTTTTGCATGTTTGTTCGCTCTTTGTACCCTGGACTTTGACGCGCTAATAGCCTTATGCTAATACTTACTTTTGTGGCAAGTAACTACCAGTAACAGTAACAGCAATAGCAACAGCACCAGCACGTAATTACAGGTTCAATGGTTGGTTTGTTTACTCGTATTCCCTACCACGACATTTGGTTGGGCGGTTGTTTGGTTGGGGTCGGTTGGTCGTGCTCGGCAATGCAATGTGTTTGGAGCACTATTTGCACATTTGCTCTGCAGATATTATCCATGGTATAATTTACAAAATCGTTTCAATGTTTTGCTACATTTTCCCTTGCAAATATATATTTTACGCTATTTTATTGTTTGTCTGATTGTTGTTGTTTGTTGTTTAAAGTTTTGTACTGATTACCCCTTTTGTTGTGCAAATTCTAATCTCTGCCACTCCAAATACTTGTACTGAGGATATACATATATTTGAGTTAATACATATTTATTGTTAACTTCAGATAATTACTTGAAACTTGAGTTGGTCACATGAGTGGGATTAGAACTAAGTACCAACGATGGGGTTAGGGTGAGATTGTGATGAGTTGGGTTGGCAACACTGTTAGTTTTAATTCTGTGTTTGTTAGATAAAAAGTAAATGTAGAAATTACTTTGATGCTTACAAGAATATTACAAGGGTTCCTTATGTAAGGTCTCAAAAACGGAAAAAAAATTAAAAAATAATTAAATATTGGTCTGGTAAAAAGTCATCCATTATTTATATCAGTATGCACCCCTTTGCTTGATAATTTTTTATTATTTCGAAAGTCATATGACTCTCTCACAGAAACCCTTGACCTGGCAAAAAATTGAGACAAACGATTTTCACAGGCTTCTCTTGAGGCCATTTCTTCACCAGCCAACTTATGGTAATCACTTGATGCGAGGTCCGGACTATAAAGTTGATATATAAGAACCTCTCAACCTAGTTCTCGAAGCTTTTGGTGAGCCATTATTGATTTGTATGGTGCAAAAGCAACTTGGAGCCAGCTTTAAAGGTTAATATCTTCATTTTTAGCGACAGTAAAGCTGCAATAAAAACACGGGGCTCGCCGATCTCTACAGGAAATAGCCCAACAGAACGTACTGTCTCTCATATGGGTCCGTGGTCACAGGTATATTGAGGGAAACTGTAATGCGGATGAGCTTGCTGAGCGGAGTACGACCAAGCAGATTCTTCTCGATAAAGAACGTATTGGCATGCCTTTTGCTACATGCAAACAGCTTCTCAAGGAATTAATATATGAACAAGCCACTACAAGGTGGAATGACATCACAACCTGCCGCAAAACAAGGCCGACATGAGATAATAAGAGATCGCGACATGTCCAAATTTATACGACTTCTGACAGGCCACTGTCTGATAGGTAGCCAAGCAGAAAGACTACGGAGCTCCCTATAGAAGTTGCTGCAAAAGCCGCAAGGATAATGAAGAGGAGGAGATGATCACCCATCTTTTATGCGACTATCCTACATTGAGCAGGGCGAGGTTTCGTAATTTTAGGAACCTTTTGCTGGATGGCCTATCGAAGATAGCTGATGTCCAAGTAATGGAACTAATGAGGTTCATTAGAGAATCAAAATGAATGGAGGATGAAGCCTAATGGTTTAAGTTTTTGTGATATCATAATGAGTCTAGGTCAGGCCTTTGTCAATCCGGTCTGACTGATCGGTAGTCACCGCAACCTAACCTTACCTGCTATTTGTGCTCCACTTTTCATCACCAGTCGCCTGCAGCTTCAGAAATGGGTAGATGTTTTTAAGATTCGGCAGCGATTTCTAGAGAAACGTTCGATGCAAGAGGTTTTCCTCGCTAATCCAGCCTATTTAAAGGGATTCCAGTCGAAACAGTGCTTGTCAAAATTTTGAATTATTTTATCGACATTTTCGACCAGCAGCCCAACACACTGTGAAACATTTTTAACGTTGTCATTGGTAGCATAGATCTTAACAACCGCTGCCACCTTCTCGAAGCTGGACAGAGAAGCAAAGCTAATTGGTCTGTTGATGAACGCGTGCAAGACGAAATATATCCTCGGATCAAGCAAACAGTCGGAGCATTTATGGCTTGGCTCCCACGACTCGGTTTGCCAGTCATTACTATGAGGTCATAGATGATTTCGTTTCCCCAGGGGCCAACATTAACACCAATGATGTACGCCTGGAAATTTAACGTTTAGTCACTCTTTCCAACAGGTGTTACTTTAGACTGAGTAGGCAAATGAAAATTAAAGTCCTCCGCTGACGAACAAAAACCAAACTTTACAAATCGCTGATAAGTCGGCTTTGGGAGTCTCCGATTGAAAAAATTTTGCGAACGATCTGTGTTGCTTTTCGTACTGGCAATGGCAAATACCGCAGACGATGAAACGTTGAGCTGTACTTACGTGTTATACATAACATAGTTCAGAGAACCAAGAAACAGCTGCTGCTCATGCTGAGTCATATCGTCCGAATGAATGGCTGAAAGCTTGAACAACAAGCAATGAACCATGATTTTTCCAGCATTCCTTCATCAGCGTCGAAAGACATTTATCCCTCGGCGGATACGTAAATAGTAAATCAGTGAAGAGAGGTAACTGCACTAAAAAAAAAACTTACGGTCTCGCGCGCTCTCTCTCCGAGCACTCGAAAATCAAGTTATTTCTGAGATGCCGCTCAGTGATGCCAAAAAGTGGTCGAAAACTGTCATAATCGGATGGAATTTTGCAAAATTTGGCGGGGAGGTCATTAGAATGATAGAGAGTTTTACATTAAATGTCAAAGCTTAAGCTTTATAGGTTCAAGCTTTAGGATAAAACATATATTTTGAAAGCTTTTTATTTATGTTTATTTTAGTAATATGGATCACCATGTGTGATATGCGTTTAATTGATTAAAATTTTTATTTCCATCAATTTTAACTTTCTTCAGACTCAAGTCTACTTTAACAGTTTACTGAGACTATCAAGGCTTAAGCTATCTAAGACAGGTATTACCACATAATAAACTATACAATTTTTTTAATATTTCGTATTTGCTTAAGTCATGAAAGAATTACCTGTAAATGACATGTAAGAACCAAATTTTCTGGCGACTTAAAGCTTTAAATTTCCCAGCTTTCTTTGAGAGCAACTGCCACTTATTCAGATTTTCTTTTTGAATTTAAAATATGGCAATAATAGTTTTTTTCTCTTTTTTTTTGTTTACTTTTAGAGAACAATAAAAAAGCGATAACAAAAAGAAGGCAATCAAAGTGGCAGACGAATATCCCGCCGTTACAGAGAATGACATGTTTACATTTTTTTTATGGCGAACCAATGAAAAGGTAAGAGATAAAAATTTTACAGGTACTTAAAAGATGAGAAAATGAAAAACAATAACAAAAACAGAAACAATAATATTGTAAAATGAAAAAAAAAAATTAAATAAATAAATAAAAAGGCTCAACAAGCAGCCGCAAGCAAGCCAGGCAACGAGAGGCGCAACTGAGATGAGGTGAAAACTTTAAGAGACCGTTAAATAACCACAATCAATAAGCTGCAATCCATGCATAAATATGTATGTAAGTATATATTTACAAGCTCATAAGATGTTGTTAGTACACACAAGCATCTATCGATTGATAGCAGAACTGTTTATGTCACTATTGTTGCAACGACAGCGAAGTCAATGCAACACAAGCGGCACATATGGAGACTGCAGACATATGAGTACGTACATACATGCATATATAGTTAAGCATAATTTTATCTGATTTTTATGTAAACTCAAACGTGGCAGTGGAGGTAATTTTTTTTCTGTTCTATAGGCGTGGCAACTTGTGGCAGCACTTGCTACAGCAAGCGATCAGGCGAAATTAAGTTGGAGCGATTAAGCGGTGAACTTGCAAAGGGGAGTGTGCCACATGTTGATTAGAGGAATGTTTAGTTGACATAAAAAGATTTAGAAGTAGTAAGAAGACTTTCTTCGGCTGTTAACTCGAAGCCAAGCTCTATCCATGTAACTCATTATGCATGCCTCAAATTGGTAATATTTGTCAGTTTATGTGATTTTTTTTCACCGCAAGAAGTCACGCCCTTTTTTCAGGTATATATTAAAGTAACAACAACGCCATGCGGTATGCGTCTGCGCCCTGCGGTGTCTTGCACTTGCCACAAAGGATGCATGCTGCGCAGCAGTTCACTCACTCGGCGACTGGTGTCAACGGAGGTGCGAGAAATTGAACAATACGCCGGTAACTGCAAATGAATTACGCGCTGACAGTAGAGTTTAACAATAGAATTTGGTGGCTAATGAAAATTTTCCTTAAAAAAATTTTTTTTTTAAATAAAAAGTTATGTATATTTTTTTTTAGCTTTCAAATCTGTTCGTTATTAGCATGTTAGCTCATCGCTTAGGCGACATGTTCGCCAGAAGTCGGCACACCAGGTGGCAGCCACAAAACAATATGCAACATGCATAAAGCAAACAATAGCGGTAAATGGGCAACAACTGCAGCCAACAAACAACAATTGTGGCACAACAAGCGCTGATAGCGTAGAAGCGCAATTGATGGTCAGCACCAAACAACGAAATGCACTAACAAACCTAACATCACGGAATGTATGTGTGTTTGTGTCTATATAGCTAACCAATTGACTAACCAATTTAACCAACAGTCAAGCGAATAAAAACTAATAGCCACAATAACCCATTGTAAAACCAGATTAGACCGGTTATAAGTGCGAGCTAATTTGCCCTGGAGGCCGCTGTAGCCTCACCGCGTAGAATAAATAAGAGAATTCAGTGATCGCGTCCCAACCAAAATTTCTTCAAAACAACGAATTTTTTGAAACTTTTTAAGTACCGAGCTTTAATTCGTATGGTTCGCGAACTGATGTTAGATGTCAAGAACAAAGAGCAATAAAGAATGTATGACCAAATTCTTAAATCAGAAACTTGTGAGGATTGACGCATATCAGTTAACTCTCTCCTCGGATTATGGTGGTATACTCGTCCACCGGAGTTGATGCCAGTTCTTGGAGACAGCCTGTATGTTATAAGGCCCAACTTTCTCTGTCCTTATCCCGTCCATCACACTTTTTGGACGTCGGCGATGCCAACACGTATTACAACGAGCACTTCAACTAGCTGGGTAGAGGGCTCTTCCCAACTAAGGGACCGGAAATTCCAGGTTCACGCCTTAAATGTTATCGGAGCCTCAATGAAAATTGGGGCCTCTCATCCGAAGGTTGTTGTTGCAAGATGATATTATACAAGAAAGCAAAGCAAATGGGTCTGGTAGTGGACAAGAGCAAGACGAAATATCTCCTTAATCAAACAAAGAGTCATCGCCATCGCGGCGGGCCCCCAGGCCAGCACTTATCCCACTAAAAATGTCAGCCTCAGTCAGAAGTCCAACGCGGAATCACTCATGCCAAGAGGTGCTACTTCGGACTGAGTAGGTAATTGAAAAGTAAAGTCCTCTCTCTACGAACAAAAGCAAATCTCGTCCCAGCGTGAACGATCAGATGTGGAGCGAGTTGGTTGCACATGGTAATACCACCTGGCGCCATAGAGAGAAGAGAAGGAACGAATGGTGCTATCGCGTAAGCGGTGCTTACGACAAAGAACTCAACATTTCTGCGGGTTAGGGGTTCCAGGATTTACCCGCGGTAAGGCATGCCGTAAGAGGCGACTAAAATCTAATAGTTCACGATAGTTGGCTCTTTATACCGGAACGATCCGGATTATTAGTCGGTCAAAGAATAGCACTCCATCAATATACCTCTAATACTAATCCGGGTATATTTTGCGGTTACAAAAAAAGAGGAGAAGAATAATATTTATTATTATTATATTACATTTTATATAATTTTATTATTGTTATTTATTTTATTTTATTTGATTTTATTTTACTTTACTTTATTTTATTTTATTTTATTTTATTTGATTTGATTTTATTTTATTTTATTTTATTTTATTTTATTTTATTTTATTTTATTTTATTTTATTTTATTTTATTTTATTTTATTTTATTTTATTTTATTTTATTTTATTTTATTTTATTTTATTTTATTTTATTTTATTTTATTTTATTTTATTTTATTTTATTTTATTTTATTTTATTTTATTTTATTTTATTTTATTTTATTTTATTTTATTTTATTTTATTTTATTTTATTTTATTTTATTTTATTTTATTTTATTTTATTTTATTTTATATTATTTTATTTTATTTTATTATATTTTATTTTATTTTATTTCATTTTATTTTATTTTATTTTATATTATTTGATTTTATTTTATTTTATTTTATTTTATTTTTATTAGTTTTATTTTAGTTTATTTTTTTAATTTTGTATTTTATTTTATTTTATCTTATTAAATTATTTTAATTTACTGAATTTTACTTTTAATTATTTTAAATATTTGATTTGATTTTAATTTTTCTTATTTTTTCTCGTTTTGTTTTATTTTTTTTATTTTGTTTAATTTGATTTAATTTTATGTTATATTATTTTGTTTAATTTTTATTTTTTTTATTTTAAATGCAACTAATTTAATTAGTTTGTAATTAATCATTTTATTTTATTTTATTATATTTATTATTTTATATTATTATATTTTATTTTATTCGATTAAATTTTTCTAAATTTAAATTATTTAGTTTAATTTATGTTTATGTTTATTCAAATTTATTGTATTAGTTAATTTAAATTTATATTTGGATTCAAGATTAATCCTTTCATTTATTACTGGGCATAAGCTATATAAAGTATTGTATATACATATTACCGTACGTACAAACAAGCACACTCAACCCCATAACTAACCACTAGCTACTGGTCAAGCGGTCATACAAATGTGCCAAACAAACAATGGCAAGTGAAAATTGAAAACAATCAGCAAACTTGTGGAAGGCTATAAAGTGAGGATAGGAAACGGCGATTGGAGTGTTGAAAACAAGAGAGAAAAAAAATCAAGCTGTTCACTTAACAGTCAATGCGTGTGAAGTTTAAAGAGCATACATGTATATGTATATACACCAAAATGTATGAGAACAAGAACCAGTGTATGTGTGTCCATGTGTATGTATGTGTGTGTGTAAGTGGTGCTCTTGTTTTGGGGAGTCAAAGCTGCCAACGGCATTCGTTGCCCGTCGCGTTTGCAATTAATTTGCTAAAAGGACATTCTAGTGCATAAAAGCGTATGAAATATTGGCTAGCTGAGCGGTGCATAGACGGGAAATCGCATACAAACGCATTAGAAATATTTACAGCTTTCATACATACCAGTGAGCTTTGATCATGTCCATATATGGCTGTATGTGTGTGCGTGTATATCCATGCCTTCTGGTATTGGCAGAGATCGAATTGCTCTTTGTTTCTTTGCTAATTGTTCACACACATACACATCATATATGTATGTAAAAAGCCCTCATATGCATGTGTGCGAGAGTGTGTCCACCATTAACACTGAGGCGGCTAAGGCAACGTGTTTAGCCATTTAGTCGCATGTTGAGCTGTCAATACAATGCAGCCGCAAATTCGTAAATTACATTGCAATTACTCGTCTACTCTTCTACGCACACATAGAAACTGCGACGGTTAAATCAATTTCCATAGAGCGTAAAAGGACATTTATGAGATTGGAAGCGGATTCGTTGCGATGCTTTTAAAATACTTTCGCTGAGTCCTTACTAAATACAGAAGATCTGTTCAGGAGCAGTAGAAGACTTACTTTAGCCTAACTTAGGTTCCTTAGTCTTTGAATAACGTCTATCTAAGCCTGGAAGCCGAGAAATAGTTTTTGGTCATGATTGCTGCGCAAGGGCCTGAATGTAATACCCCCTCTAGTGTACTTGAAAGGATATCATTCAATAAAAAAAATTCTCGCTTCGGCGAAGGATATGGAATAGATAATTGAGCTATAAAAAATCGAAAATTGATAGATAATTATTATACTCTAGTTGATTAGGTTAGGCTTTGGATTACTGATCTACACTGGGAGAGAGAGCTTGCCGAATTGAAGCATATTTTATACTTTCTCTGTCCATCATTACAGGCTCCAGCCGGGATTCATTCTACGAACCGCACCACCAAAAATCTGGCTCCTTACAACGAGATGGTTACTTTTCATCGATACATCGGATGAATCTCTGATGCTATTGAAAACAACCGTTCTATAGTGTTACCTGTATTCAAAAACTCCCTTAACCACTGCTTAAAGGATCTGCCAAGAGCCGGTAAAAAATGGAAATTCACATTTTGCTGTAAGTCAACAAAGGTTTTCCAAAAAGAAAAAGATATAAGGAAATATGCTCCTGCTAGAAAAGCGTATTACCAAAATAAAAGGAAGATCTATCAAGCAATTCTACAACAGAACAGGCTGAGAGGTCGCAAGTCTATGCTATATATGCTACTGAAGAGAGCTGCTTACGCGGTATCGGTTAAACTGTTGGTTTAAGTTACAGCTCAGAACCAATTGACACCATCGGAATGGGTATTAGTAACAATAAGCTATGCAAGAAATGAAGGCATAAGCATTGCATCGCCTAAAAGAACTCCTTTGCTTCTTTTTGGGCTCTATCTGGTACTCGTCTTAGACAACCAGGATTAGCGGCAGTTCAAAAGGAGTAGTTGAAGTGATCAAATTGGATATCTAGGCTTTCTTAAGCTTTACAAAACGTGCTAACAACAATTTTGACTGCCTTTGTCACTACAAAAATCAGACGGGAATATGCCACAGCATATAAGCCAACCTAACCTAGGTAGAAGAGAATATTGGGACCCTTTCTCATTGACTCCTTGAGATTTTATAAAGAAATTTATATAGAAATAGGGTCTCTTTACATAGGAAACCTAAACCGGAATAAGCCTCTGACAGTCCTCTTGGGAGTAGGTCGCCTCCAGCGAAGATTTTGTGTTCTTATGCCGAAGCCACAAGCTTGGACTACGAGCTAATAAATTACCAAGTGTTCATATATGTAAATAAAAAAATAAATATTGCTGACCCCTGCAACATTATCAGACACCAGCGACGTGCAGCATTAAATCTAACAAGCAGCAAGAAGTAGATCCATTTCGTTTGTTGAGACACAATTACAAAAACAACGAAAAATTAACTTGCACATTTTAGAAGAAAAAAGAAATGAAATAAATTAAGAAGCATAAAGCAAAAGCGAGTCAACACACACACAGAAACAGAAGAGGATAATGACAGGAAGTATGACAGGAAGAAAGGCTAGCGGGAATGGCTAATAAAAGAAAAAATTAGAAAAAAAATAAATACAATTTGCGCACTGAGAGTATGGGGAATTAGCGCAGCACTTCACACAGCAATGATGGCAGCAGCAACACTTTAGCGCGCATTTTGTGTGAATTAAACTTGACCTGACCCTTTTAATTAAAACTTAACAACGAACGAGTGCAACAGACCAACGTGCAGCTACATACACACACACACATAGCAGTTGCAACAACTACTGAAGTTTACAACGGGGTTAGTGCAAGTAAGGATGTGATATTACTTCGCCTGGAGAGCACATACTTACTGTCCACCCTGTAGGGAACTGCGAAGCTAGTTCGCTGCAAACTATAAATATACTAGTTTTTAAAGGAGACAATTATACTAGTTCGCAAAGTTCTGAACCCTTTCTGTAGCGTTTGTTCACCAGAAGGGGAGCTGCGGGGTGGCGTCATTCATGAAGTAAGTGGTTCGATATTAGAGTGTGCTTTTTTAACTATATGTACCCGAGCTTGAGACCTGTTCCTTAAAATTTGTGGTATAGCAGAAACAACAACGTATCGTTCCCCGCAGCAGATGAACGTCTTGCCACAATCCCCATTAAACCACGATTGCTTTACATATTGGTGGTTTGCGTTCACATCCCGACCGATCAG